GCAACCTCTAAATCTCTCTTTCTAAGATTTATTTAACTTATTTATTTGAAAGGCAAAGAGACACATAGAGAAAAGGACACACCACACAGAAAGAGTCCGGCTGTTGGTTCACTCCCCAAATAGTCAACACAAGCCACATCTGAGTCAGGCCAAAGCAAGGAGCCAAGAACTCCATCTTGGTTTCCCATATGAGTGGCAGGGACCCAAGTACTTGGGCCATCTTCCACTGCCTTTCTCTGGTACATTAGCAGGGAGTTGGATAGGAAACGGAGTAGTCAGGACTCAAACACTCTGATGTGGGCTGCCCGTGGTAGCTTAACTCACTGTGCCTAAGTCTCTAAGTCTTTTTACTACCAGCAGAGTAAATTTTTAAAACCATTTTTATGCAATTAGGTTTTTGTGTTTGTTTGTAGCCCAAATTATTGTTTCCTCTAATTTAGGGTTTTCATCTTAAAAGATCTGTTTTGATATTAGGATATTTCACCATTGTTACCAAACTAGATTCTTTTGTTTCTGTGATTTTTTTTGGACTTATTACAGCCATATAAAATAGGTTAAAAGCTCAGTAGGTTTGGGCTCCAGACACAGGCTCTTGCCTTTTTTTTTTTTTTTTTGACAGGCATAGTTAGTGTGAGAGAGAGACAGAGAGAGATTATAGACAGTGAGAGAGAGAGAGGTCTTCCTTCCATTGGTTCACTTCCCCAATGGCCACCACGGCCAGTGATGTGCCGATCCGAAGCCAGGAGCCAGGTGCTTCATCCTGGTCTGCCTTCGGGTGCAGGGGCCCAAGCACTTGGGCCATCCTCTGCTGCCCTTCCGGGCCACAGCAGAGAGCTGGACTGGAAGAGGAGCAACCAGGACTGGTACCTGGGGTGCCAGCGCCACAGGCGGAGGATTAGCCAAGTGAGCCATGGCGCTGGCCCAGGCTCTTGCCTCTTACAAACTCTGTTAGCTTGGAGGAGCTTCTTGAATTCTAAGCCTGAGCTCCCTCATTTATAAAATGGAGACAATTACAGTAGCACTTCATATGATTGCTGCAAGCATTAAATGGGATAAACATACACAAGAACTTAGAACAAGGCCTGATTGTGGTAATCACTCAACAATCGATTATTACCACCATTCTTTCAAAATACATTTTTTGAATACTTACTGTTGACAGGCACCAAGAATACAATGTTAAAGGAGTAATTATAATGGGGAAGACAGAGACTACATTGAACAGAAAGCAAAAAGGTAAATAAAGAAGGCACTACCTGTACTATAACCAAATAAGTATCATATTTATTTTAATATTTCTTTTTTTTTTTGACAGGCAGAGTGTACAGTGAGAGAGAGAGAGACAGAGAGAAAGGTCTTCCTTTTGCTGTTGGTTCACCCTCCAATGGCCGCCGCGGCAGGTGCGCTGCAGCTGGCGCACCGCGCTGATCCAATGGCAGGAGCTAGGTGCTTCTCCTGGTCTCCCATGGGGTGCAGGGCCCAAGGACTTGGGCCATCCTCCACTGCACTCCCTGGCCATAGCAGAGAGCTGGCCTGGAAGAGGGGCAACCAGGACAGAATCCGGCGCCCCAACCGGGACTAGAACCCAGTGTGCCGGCACCGCAAGGTGGAGGATTAGCCTAGTGAGCCGCAGCACCGGCTTATTTTAATATTTCTAAACTACAAATGTAAGAGATTAAACCATGGGATTCTAAATATTCGTATCAATATATCAACAAAATCCTAAAGTAGTCTGAGAAAAAAAATTCTACTATAACTCTTAACAATCCCTTAGATTTTATCTTAAGTAAATGAAATTCTCATTTATAAATATTCAAATATGATTTATTGCACTGTTTTTATGAAATTATTCTGGAATAAGGCAGATAGCACAGGACATTAACAAATAAATCAGCCGGCGCTGCAGCTCAATAGGTTAATCCTCTGCCTGAGGTGCCAGCACACCAGATTCTGTCCCGGTTGCTCCTCTTCCAGTCCAGCTCTCTGCTGTGGCCCAGGAGGGCAGCAGAGGATGGCCCAAGTGCTTGGGCCCTGTACCTGCATGGGAGACCAGGAGAAGTACCTGGCTCCTGGCTTAGGATCAGTGCGGTACGCCAGCCACAGCGGCCGTTGGGGGGTGAACCAACAGAAAAAGGAAGACCTTTCTCTCTGTCTCTCTCTCTCACTGTCCACTCTGCCTGTCAAAAAAATAAAAATAAAAATAAATAAATCAGAAATTCACTCAGTAGTAATAACGCACACAAAATAAGTAATTTTGATAATAATTTGCTCAATTCAATAAATTCATTGAATCTCCTAAGTAGTTGTATTAGTAGTTAAAAATGTGTTCATTCATTCAATAAACACTTATTCAGTAACTACTTAGTAGGCACTACCCTAGGCATTGGATAATAAATATGAACCAAAAAGTTTCCACCCCTTAATGTGATCATAAATATTAGAGGATATATAGCTACATCATTTTTATAAATTTATTTGACAAGTAGAGTTACAGACAGTGAGAGAGAGAGACAGAGAGAAAGGTCTTCCTTCTGTTGGTTCACTCCACAAATGGCCGCTATGGCCGGCGCTGTGCCGATCCGAATCCAGGAGCCAGGTGTTTCTTCCTGGTCTCCCATGTGGGTGCAGGGCCCAAGCACTTGGGCAATCTTCCACTGCCCTCCCGGGCCACAGCAGAGAGCTGGACTAGAAGAGGAGCAACCGGGACTAGAACCCGGCACCCAAATGGGAGGCTGACATTGCAGGCAGAGGACTAACCAAGTGAGCCATGGTGTCAGCCCCTACATCACTTTAAAAAAATTGATAATAATGAATAAAGAACTGTAATTATGACAAAAGTATAAAAGAGTGTATAAAATTTTTCTGGGAGCTTACTCAGTTATTTGTTTATTCATCAAGTACTTTATAATTACCATTAACATTTCACTTATTTATTGATATTATTAACTATAACTACTAACATTAAATTGATGAGAACCTACTATGTGTTGGGTATTTTTCAAGGCGAAGAGAACATCAAAACAAACAAAATGGATAGAAACTCCTGCATGGTGTTGACAGTAAATATACTGAGAAGTAAAATATGTACTGTTTTTCTTTGTGATACTGTAGGATTTCAAAATATTATAAACTCAATATGTTTTTGTTGGTTATTTTTATTTTATTTTTTCTCCAAAGAAACTTTTTATTTAAGGAATACAAACTTCATGCATTTCATAAGTACAACTTTAGGAATACAGTGATTCTTCCCACCCTCCCACCCACACTCCCACCACTCCTCCTCCCCCCCTCCCCAGTCCCATTCTCCACTAAGATCCATTTTTGATTAACTTTATACACAGAAGACCAACTCTATACTAAGTAAAGAGTTCAACAATTTGCACAAAAAAGAAAAAAAAATTGTTCTTCAACAGTTGAGACAAGGGCTATTCAAAGTTATTGCATATCAAAGTTAATTTCACTTTTTTTTTGAGAAACTTAATTAGCTTTAAAGAAGCACCCAAGAATGATCCCTCTTTTGTGAGCACTTAGACATAACTAAAATTTATGAGGCATAAGAATATCCTCCATTTAATACATTAAAAGAAAGTAAGTCCTTGAGAACAAGTTTTATCATTAATTAAGGAAACACCTTTGAAAACAAGCAATGGAGTTGGACAGTTGGTGTAACAAAAACTTATATGAGACTAAGAGTATCCTCCACTTAATACACTAAAATGAGATAAATCTTTGAGAACAAATTTTACTGTTAACTCTCATAAAATAGCTTGTTGAGGATGGAGGTCCTGCATGAGGAGTTAATGCACAGTGACTTCTGATGTTAATTTAACAATTACCACTCTTATGTATGACATCAGTGATCACTGGAGGCTCTTGACGTGAGCTGCCTAGGCTATGGAAACCTTTTGAATCCACAAGCTCCACCAGTATCGAGACAAGGCCATAGTAGAGTTGAAGTTTTCTCCTCCCTTCAAAGAAAATGTACTCTATTTTTAATGAATGGCATGGGGAAACAGAACGCAGGACAAGGGTGTAGAGAGGGGAAAGAGAATGGGAATCTAAATCAAATTCCCCAAGTTCTGACGCATACTGCTTCAGTGTTTTCTTTTTCATTTTCCTCTAGGTATAACGAGCATTTTCCTTCCTCAGGCCTCATCACCCGCTATAGCTTGGATATTAGTGGATTTTCAAAGAATGTGATGAGACTGTTAATTTCTTATTTTTAACCTTAAAAAAAATCAGTTTACCAGTTGATTTAACAACATTCATGAATGTTACTGGGAAACAGCTCATCGCTGGGAGAATGGAAAATGGAGAAAAAGATATACAGGCAGAAGACAGAAAAGACAGAGGGCGAACATAAAACTGCGACGGTAAAACCGGCGGGATTACTGACAAACCGGCGTCTCCCGGGCTTTGGCGTCCACAGGTTTCCTATGCCTGGGACGGCCCCCGACTGCCCCCTCGTGGCTGATAGTGTATCCTCCGGTGCCAATACACTTTACAACAAAATACAACTTCATTCAAAATGATAAAGCGACCCAAAAGCAATCGCACCTCGCTTCCCTGTCCTTTCCCTCCTGAGCCAAATCATATCTAAACTTGCACTTCATGCTGTTATTCGCAGTCCCTGTCACAAGCTAATCACAATTCGGCAATAGGCAATCCTGTAGCTGAAGAAAACAAATTTCCATACCAGGTGCCTCAGAATAGCATTCCCTACCTCTTTGTTATGGAGATCGAGGCTAAGAACTATTCCTCCCTTCAAAAGTGATGGGAATTTTCAAAAGAATCTTTGATTCTGACTTTAAATTTCACAGAAACACACTCGAAGATACTTGCATTTGGACACACATTTGATTGACAGCTCCATGCCAGGACCTGGCGTACAAGAGGAAGCACGAACAGACACAGGCTTTGCCTTCAGGAAACTAGGGGATCTGGGGAAAGACGTCATCAAACAAGCGCCTAAATAAATGTAAACACACCTACCTACCTACCTTAGCACCATGAAGGAGATGACAGGTTTCGCTGAGTGACGCCACACCTCAGGAACAACCAGGTTGTCGGTTATCATGATCCCGACAGTCTCACGTTTCACCTTAATATCCCCGTGATAAAGCCAAGAGAAACAAAATCAAACAGGTGGATGCGGGTATTTTGAGCTCTCATTTTAAGAGCCAGAGTTTGCTGCGTCCCACCGCCTGACCACTCAGATGAAGCGTGAAGACCAGGCCCCACCGCGCCCTCAGGCCTCGAGCCTCGCGTGTGTGTTCTCGCGAGGTCCACACATGCTCAGAAGACCCGACAGCCACGTGCGCGCGGCTGGCTCCTGCGCAGGCGCACACGAGGTGGGGTGCCCGGCCTGGCATGGCGGGCAAACGGTAACTGCAGGGTGCAAGCCCCCTTGGCCTTGGGCTCGGGGATGCCTCGGCTCTTCTGTTTGTGGCTTGGGCTCCTACTGATTCGGTTCTCCCGTGAGCTGACACAGGACTTAAGCAGAGCCAGGAAGCTGTGCGGCCGGCATCTGCTGAAAGAAATAGTCAAACTCTGTGGCCATGGTAACTGGAGCCAGTTCCATTTCCAAGAGGAAACCCCTTTGGCAGAGCAGATTTCCCAGGCGTCGGGAAACACGGACGCCTTCTTCCCTGCCCAGTCTGAAAGCTCTCATGCCTCTCTTCCGGCATGGGGGGGAGGTGTAAACCCAGGTAAATCTAACCCAAAGGCATGTTTATCTCTACCTTTCTCATCCCTAAGTTTGTTCTACCATAAGAAATGCAATTTGTGCTTGGTACAGAGGTCGAGTTAAAAAAACATTAAAAACCAGTGTATTGAGGATGTACATAACCAATATAAAGTGTTTCTTTTCTTAGTCTATAGGAATTAAGTATATGTAAAGTTTACACATTTATGAAGCATACAGTTCCTTTCCTAGCATCACCTTTCTGGAGTGTGCTTGGCATCTGCCAAATCCATTTTTGTCCTTCAAAACAACCTTAGGTATCATTGTCCCTGCAAAGTCAACACTGATTTTTTTTTAAAGATTTATTTATTTTAAAGGCAGAGTTAGAGATTTTCCATCCAGTGGTTCATTCCCCAAAATGGCCACAAAGGCAGCGCAGGCCAAAGCCAGGAGCCAGGAGCTTCATTCTGGTCTCCCATTAGGGAACAGAGGCCCAAGTTCTTGAACCATCCTCTGCTGCTTTCTTGGGCACAATAGCAGGGAGCTGGATTGGAAGTGGAATAGCCAGGACTTAAACTGGCACTCCTATGGGATGTGGACATGGCAGGCCGCAGCTTAACCCACTGCATGACAATGCCAGCCCAGCATTGATCTTTTTCATAGCAAATTGTTGTCTATTTGAGTGTCAATAGGACTGACTACCTAATTATCCCAATCCAATGTAAGGCAAAAACAGATCTCCGGTTCAAAAATCAGGAAAGGGACTTAAAGATAGTAAAATAAAAAGCTTGCTTCCTCTCTCGTCAGTATCTCCTCTGCATGGTCTATTCTGACAGTCTTCATTTAAAAGTTTATGTACCTGCACTTCACTTATAAGTTCAATAGGTAAAATTATTGAAATTTTCAAGACTAGAGCAATGGGGCATTAAAATCAAATGCAAGTGCTGGTGCAAATCCCCGTCCCATGCTTTGACTTCCTACCCTATGAGTTAGAAGTATGTGATGTGTGTGTATGTGTGTGTGTGTTCTGTGCTTCTTCCCCGTCTGGTTTCTGGGCTGCGGTGGGAGCCTTGTGAGGATGGGGAGCCTTCTGGTCATAGTCGCCATTGCATTTCCAGTTCTGGGCACAAGTCTAGCAGTGGTGGGTCCCTGGCAAATATTTACTGAATTGACTATCAGATCTGGAGGGGTCTACATTGTGGCACACATGCTGAGCTACAACTTGTGACACTGGCTCCCCATATAGGAATGTAGGTTCTCAGCTGTTCCACTTCTGATCCAACTCCCAACTAAAGTGTCTGGGAAGACAGCAGATGATGGCCCAGCTACTCAGGCCCCCGCACCCTCATGGGAGATCCAGGTGGAGTTCTGGGTTTCCTGGCTTCATCCTGGTCCAGCTCCGACTCTTGAAGCCATTTGGAGAGTGAGCAAGCAGATGAAAGATCTCTCTGTCTCTGTCATTCTGCATCTCAAATAAATAAATAAATCTTTAACAACATCAGATATGTGTGGGGTTAGCTGTACAGTTTGTACAGTGGAGGGAGATCCAAAGCTGGGTGGCCCCGTAGGAGGGATTTGCAGTAGCAGAGAGGTGCTAAGAGCCTAGCCTGGGCAGGAGTGGCACAAATGCACAACAGATTTAATGACAACATAGATGGAACTTGGTGAGGGAGAGGGAGTCACAGGTGGCTTTAGGGCTTCCATTTGGGGGTCTGAGTGGCTGGTGGTGGCGCGGATTGAGAGAGCAAAGATAGAGGAGCCTGTCTCGCCGTGGGAAGCTGGAGAGCGTAGCTAACGAGATCAGTTTTGGACATGTGTGGCTTGAGACAAATGCGCAAAGTGCAGCTGGAAGTGCCCACCAGCGGGCAGTTGGAAATCCATGTGGGCAATTTGGGAAGATGGTTGGGGCTCAGGTCACAAAATTTTGGTGACAGCAAGGAGAGCAGGCAGAGTTGAAAGAGAAAGCAGAAGTACAACGCTGGAGGAAACATCATTTGACGGGAGTGTGGAAGATGGGGAGATGTGACCAGTCGAGATGGGGGCAGATGTTGTCAACTCTTGAGAGATCTTGGCCCCATCCAGGACTGTCGCTCCCCCTCTTCGTGGAGGAATGACACAGGACCCTGCGCTGTTCTTTTGTCTGCTCGGCCCTCCCCGGGTTTGCTGCTGGTTCTTCCCGGGTTGGCTATCGTCCCTTCCACCTCCGTGGAAGGGCGGTTCCCAATTTAAATTCCTTTGGGTAAATTCCAAGGAGTGGGATGGCTGGGTCGAATGGTAGGGTTATCTTCAGGATTCTGTCCCAGTTGCTCCTCTTTTCTTAAAATATTCTATGTATTTTTTTCTTTTCTTTAACTTTTATT